AGCTCGAATAATTCCGGCGTCCTCTGCCGACATCTGCTGCCGGAACCAGCTCTCTAGCTTAACCGGGAGCGTAGCAGTGAGCAGAATTACCGGGCAGTCGAATCGGTATAGCCCTGTGAGGCCCGCTAGCCTCTTTCTGTATCCGACGTCTATGATAATCGTGTGGCATTCGTCGATAAATATCCGCCGTAGCAGACGCCGGCTTCGGAGACTGTCGAGGTACGTCGAGAACTCGTTGTTGCTTGCCTGGTTTGCGCTGACGACGACTAGTCTAGCGACCCGGACGAGCGAGTTAGCCTCTCGTCCCTCCTCTTCCGTAGACCTCTAGTGGACGTAGTCGATTCCGAACGAGCGAGCCCGCGCTACTAGATTGTCGATCAGAGCTACGAACGGTACGACGACGACGCTGACGTCTCCGTGGAGGCCCCGAACTGCTGGAACCATGAATAACAGGCTCTTGCCACCGCCTGTCGGTAGTACCACGATCTGTATAGAGCCCCCTCGTATCTGTATGATCTGGACTATGGCATTCTCCTGATCAGCTGTTCGCTATCTTGCTCCGGCTCCTAGAATCGTCTCGAGTCCCTGTTGAACTCGCTTCTGGATGTCCTGATTTGCTGCGGTTATTGCTGATCGACGCCTTGTTGTTCTGATTTCTACGAACAGCTGGCCGGATTGGCCTAATCGGACCGCCCCCGACTTACTGAGGCCCTGATCACTGCTTTCCTCGAGAGGAATCGACGTTATAGTAGTCTCTTCCTTCCTCGGCTTCTTTCTTAGTTGCTGCTCGACCCCGGTAGCGCTCCGACTACGACTCCGTCTTCTCTTGGACGACCTCTCTCGCTCTCTCTCTCTATCCTAGCTTAGAAACTGGTGCCACAGCCGACTGATCTCTCGGTAATTCGCAACTATCTGCGGTTGTAGCTGGTCTGGAAACTGGATATTGAGTGCGTAGTGCCTTCGTGCGGTAGCACTACTATGCGTTGCCTGTAGATCCCAGATCAGCTGCGTCCGCACCCTAGTTCGACGCTCTCCTGTCGTTTCGTCGATCTCGTCTTCGTCTTGGTCGTATCCGTCTCCCTCAGCCCCGATCTCTAGTTCCCGCTGCTCTACGACGATGCCGCGGATGAGTCGGCCTAGCTCGATAGCTAGATGTCGATATGACGACGTCCCGAGTACTACGCCGATATACTTCGTCGACGCCCTCTGGAGCTCCTTCGTGAGTATCGTAGTATCCCACCTCCCCCTACGCCCGTCCTTCCAGAGCTAGTGGTACAGAGAGCTAGACGGTAGTCGACCCTTCGTCTCCTCTAGTAGCATCTGCTCGTAGGGAATGAGCCAGGTGAGATAGAGAACGAGCAGCTTTCCGATTCGCTTCGGTAGGAAACGAGCTACCTTGCGACCGCAGCCTCGAGTAGCCTGAGCCTTGTCCCGATCCGTAATGAGCATGACCTGCCCGTCGTAGATGTAGACGCTGCTAGATAGCTGCTGCGTATCTAGGTGTCGGACGCTGGTGATCTCGGGACCCCGTCCAGGCTGGCCGCCCCAGATATACGTTAGCAACATAAGCTGCTTCTTGAGTGAGTCCAGCATGCTAAGCCACTTATACGACTTTTCTCGATGGTAATGGGCTCTCTGGGACGACTATAGCTCTGTCGAGACGAGATCGGCGACCGGACGAGGCCCGGGACGTAGCCACTCGTTCTCCGCGTTCGTCGTAAACGACTTTCGATCACCCTCGAACAGGAGGCTATCCCTAATCCGCCCGAGATCGACCTGTCCGAGGAGACCCTTCGTCTTCCCGGATAGTAGTTTGTCTAGGGTCGACTCTGCGTCGGTAACGACCCCCTGGGCCATCCGTCGGAACTCCTGAACTTCGATGCGGTATCCGTAGAGCCGGACCGCCTTCTTCCCCTCCTCCCAGATGATTCTCGGCGTACCACTATCCTTATTCCGATACCCCTTCCCTAGGGTCATAAACCGCGTGATCGCACTGAACGGGCTGAACGAGCCGTCGGCTATCCACTCGCGGTAGCCGTCGAGGAACATCTCGATGTCCTTCTGTCGTAGTACCTCAACTCGAGGCCCCGCTTCGTCCTCCTCCCGGATAGGGACGTGTTCGAATAGATATTCGAGTAGTAGGACCCGACTACACCACGATATACCGGCGAGGATTATGGTAAACTCGCTTGGCGCCCGGAATCGTGCTCGGACGGGGTCGATCGCGAGAATGGTTGTGAAATGGAGTAGTGGGTTGACGTATAGCTCGACGAGGACCTTCTGGGTCAGTGATAAAACGCAGAACGTGAAAACGCTGGCGTCGAGGTACTGATCGCCCTCTTCCTCTCCGTAGCTCTCGAATCCGCCCTCTTCTCGATCCCCTTCGTCGTCTTGGTCCTTCCCTACCCGGGAGCTCGGCGGTTCGGTAGAATCGAGTGCCTCCGTAATAGCTTCGAGAGCTGCCCACTGCTTGTCGGTAAACTGGATCTGTTGCTCGCTGCGAGCACCTGTTCGATAATTCGGGTCGTACGGTACTAGGCCTGTCGCTCTGAAGCCTGCCTGGATGTTTGACTTGGTCATCGCAGCGTCGTACGACTTGTGAAAGGCTGGGAGGAAGTCCTCCTTTGAAACGTGGGTTACGTGCGCCCGCATAAGACCTTCGATTTCTTTACCGTACGCCCGTTTCAGAGGTCCAAAACACCCAACATCGAGAGGCTGGAGCTTATGCGACGAATGAGCAGGCATACAGAGCGTTACGATGTTCTGTTCCTTGCAGTAGAGCTCGAAATCGACGGAATGGTGGCTCTCGTGGCCGTCGAGGATGAGGAGGCGGTGGGTGCCCTTCGTACGACTCTTTGTATGGAAATCGAAGTGTTTTACCCATTCTAGGCCTCTCTCGTTCGTCGTCCAACCGTTTTCTGAAAGCGCGATTACCCAGGAGTCGAGGTGGACCTTCCCGGCGAAGATAATGTACGGCGGGATTGAATAGCCGTACGACGCGATACCCTGGATTACTGTAACCCATTCCTGATTCCCTTGTTGTACGGCTCTTGGCCTCCCGCGTCGATCGGAGGTCGTAACGACAGTTTCGGCGGAGATTTTGCCCATCGCAAAGCCCGTCTCGTCGAAGTTGTAGATGTCGTCATCGTGGATCCCGTATTTCGCGATTGTATTTCGTACGAGGGAAAACCACGCGCGATACGCGTCTGGATCTTCGCAGAGGACTCTCTGATAGTCGATTCTTCGATTAAAACGCGTTCGGAGCTCGGGTCGTCGTCGTACGAAGTTTGCAGCCCAGTTAGTTCCGACGCGTGGCGCGTCGCGTTCACGAAGGAGTCGATCCGCCATTTCTCGAACACCACTGAGGCGCGGTGGAAATGATCGCGAATCTAGGTCGATTACATATCGTACGATACTGTCCTCTTCGTACGAGGTTAAAGTCTGATTGTGTGGTCGGAGATCGCGCTTTGCAGGTCGGCCGTACTGTCGTCGATGTAAGGTTGCGTGGGATATATTATAGAGTAATGCAGCCTTTCGGACGCTTAATTTTGGGTTTGATTGGAGCGCATTAAGCGCTAGAATTACGTCGCTTTCAACTGATTGCCGTCCCATAATTGTTGGTGGAGAAAATGAAGGAAAAGGAGTGTCTGTAAGAAATTGCAGAAAAGTGTCTCACTTGCTTGTGTGTCTCACTTGCTTGTGTGTCTCACTTGCTTGTGGATTACGTTATAGCTAATTTATTAGCTGAGTTATAGCCGAGTGACAAGGTAGCGATTTTAGCGATTTTGGTGGGGTTTAGGGTGGTCGCGAAGTACCCTGGTCGCGAGACGGAGGGCAGACTTAGGGCCTAAGCAGCACCCACCAGAGTGGAAGCAAGCTATCAAGCATGAGATCGCGATGAGCTTCGAATAGCACAACCAACCTGTCATGTAGAACAGGCTCGGGACTCAAGTCACGTTTTGGTGAAGATACTTCCAGCGAGGCATCAAGCACTCCTTGATATATAGTATAAAGCCGCCTAGAAAAGCCTTCTTTCCTACTGGTGTCCTGGCCGCAGTAGACCCGTCAGTCTATCACACTTAAGAATATTATATAGGACTACGCGAGCTGTCGTTAGCAAGAGCGGTTAGTGAATCAGGTCTTCGAAGTAGGGATTTACCCACCCCGTGCGCGGAGGCATCCTGACCATCATTCACAAGCAGTTTGTGTCCAGTTGGCGTCTCTCTGCCATACAATAGGGGGCGGGCGCTTGGGCCATTGCACTCATTCTGAACCCCAAGTGCGCTATAGAGGAATCGGTACTTGGACACAAACTTACAGTGGGCAGGGACGCTAAACCCAGGGACCCCCACCCCACCCCGGGCCATTCTGGCTACCCCAATTTCCCCATAAGGTTCAGGTAAGTAAGGAGGAAAGGAGAGAGCTGGGGTTCACACGGCAGACCCCGGGCGGGAAAGATAGAGAGAGAGCCACGCGACGACGCGTTATCGCAGCTCAGGCACAGAAAAAAAACGGAGAGTTCATAATTAGACTAGACAGGTAGATATGAGAAATATGTCAATTATTACGGCCATACTTCATCTACGTCATTCGAGCTCTACTGTACAGTGGTAACTGAGGTACTACTAACAAACCCGTCCAAACGCGAAACGCGGCAGCGACCGCAGCGAGACCAGACACCGCAGCCGGGCAACGTCGGGAATCCGAGATGGAAGACCGTCACGACGACGCCGGAGCGCCCCCATCGGAAATCAATGTGTATCTCCACGAGGAGTCGCGCGTTCTTATATGCTCGGTATGTAAGGCTGGCATCCAGCCCGGGCCCGGCATTGAGTCCCACTTCCGGCGGAGGCACGGCACAAAGGGTGCTGTTCTGCAGCGGATCCGGGAGAAGGCCACGACAACCGCCGCAACGGCAGGTGGGATGGCGGACCCACGGACAGCGGAGACACCGGCAGATGGAACGTCGCTCGTCCCAGAGCTCCGGGTGCAGGCCGGATTCAGCTGCACAGCATGCCGCTTTTTAACAACAAACGAGACGGTGATCCGGCAGCACTGGACAGGGAGGAAGTCGGAGGTGGACGACAGCCATAGTTGGTATGAGCGTTCAAAGAATAACTGGACAGCCGTAGCACTCCAGTCTTTCCAAGAGGAACACCTGAACCGATGCCCGCAGTGTAGCTGTCGCCGACGGCCGCCCACTTGTTGATCCAGCCGAGGTTGGCGGGATCGGTGGCACGTTTGGTGAGAGCCTCCAAGACTGATCCCTCAGTGTCAACGGGATCGAGCGAAGAAATGGTGTCGTTGTTGTCCTCGGGGACGGCGAGCGCACCAGCAACGCCGCGCGGTCGAGGGACGCTGTAGGATAGAGGGATAATCAGAGAAAATCAGGCCGCACTGTGGTTTTGCTTTGTTGCGAGGGCAGAAGTTCTCTTTAAGCCAGTCTTCCTTTGCATAAATCAGTCCTGAGTAAATTTCAGAGATGGGCCCTCCCAGACAGTGCATGAGATGACTATGATCATCGATGGAGCCGTTGTAATTATGTCCTCTAGAATAGGGCGAGTCACCACATGTCGACAATGGCAGGGATCATCTGGGTTGAAGAAGTTTTTATACTTTGTTTTCTGAGTAAAGCTGGCTTAGGAATGGAAAGGTATCGAGAAATTGAATGCGACCAAACGATAAGTGTACAATATATATCTAAGTTGAACCTTCCAGCAATCCACATGGCAACGACTGGCCCTCCTTAAAACTCTATGTGAATACCTCGAGTGAGCCCTGATGATGAGGCCTTGACCGTGGTCCCCACTCTTCTCACAACCAGGTCCCATCGTTCTTTTGTGGAACCACCGCGCAATGGCACGAAATATTGAGAACCAGACCCCAAAGCAGGTCAACGCGCTTGTTCTCCAATGAAGGAATGTATCAAGGAAATGAACGGAAGAAGATGAATTGAAGAAACAGACCTTGTTGAAGTGATGCACATGTCAGACATGATGTAGATTGGAGTTGGCATGCATGCGGGATTGAGGAAGAGCCTTACAGGGGAAGGAACATGCCGGTCGTGCTAATCAGTGACGCCTGTCATCATCATCACGAGCGGACTCGTTATCGAGCTCATATTTCTCCTCGACAAGGTCGAGATCTCTCTCATATACCCTGCCCTCGTTTCGGTCGTCCTCGTCGTCATGGTCGTGGTCGAAAGCGCGTGCCCACACCAAGAAGGTAGTAGCCTTGCAGCGTTGAAGCGTGCGCGTGGGTGTAGCAGTCGGGATCGCGGCAGTAGGGGTCGACGCAGGGGTGGGGCGTGGGGTAGAGTGGATGGCCGGCGAGATAGCTGTGATGATCGATGGCTTGGTACGGATAGTAGTCGGACAGAGAGGAGGCTTGTGTCTGGGCGGTCTACCCCGTGGCGTGGGTATTCGCGTGAAAGGATGTCGAGTAGGCTGTCGACGAACGAGCGGTCATGGCCTGGGGAGAGCCATCAGAAGCCATCAGGCTGTTGGGCAATATCTTACCGCGCAAAGGGAGTTGGGAAGACATACTTGTGACGCAGCGGATGTGCTCATGCTTGCCTGTGCCCTGGAGCTTCTGCTGGAGTCCTTCGTGCTCTCAGTTCCAGATGGACGAGTCGAGCGGGTAGATTTCGAGTCCTTCGCCTTCCTGGGAGCTGTCTTGTGTGAGCCGCCCATGGTGTGGTGAAAGAGGAGAATATGTCAGGGTGCTCAGATATATGGGGGATGAAAAGATGCGAGAAGGTCGAGGACGCTATGGTTCGTGAAGACAGTAGTGAGAGAAGCGAATCCAGGGCCAGGCGGATCCTTGATATAAGGGTGCCGATGGCTTATCCGCCGATCAGACATCTTGAAATGGATGTCAATGCTGTCGTCCAAATTCTGTTTTCTGAGTTCCGTTAGTCCCTGGGGACCAGAATCTGGCCAGGCATGAGAAAATGGACTGCGCGGCGGCGGGTGTCAAAATGTTGTCAATTGGGAGAGCCAGATTTTGGCACGCCCAGCCAATCGGGGGCCGAGCCTGTCTGCCAGCTGGAACCCCTGTCCCAGATTTTGGAAAGTGATGCTTGACGGTGTGGCTTCACGAACAAGGAACAGCCAGTCAACGCCAGCATGCTGGGGCTGAGTTGGTGCCTACACCGACGGCTGGGCTGACACGTCGACCAGAATTTGGACTTGCAGCAACCCCTGTTCGACCAGAATCTGGTTGCTGTAGGAGGCTCAGCATGGTAGTCTTGGCTACGTATGCCTCGTGCAGGCGCGGAGCCTTGCGAGTACTTGAACCAGAATTTGGTCGCCCCTCGAGTGCTCAACTCTTCCACCTTCATGCTTCCATTCTCACATCAAGCTCCCATCCCACAAACCCGTTGTCGTCGAGTACCCCTCTTCTGTCCTCCTCATATTCCAAGCGACGCTGCTGCGCCACCTGTGCAGTGGGCGATCGCTCGACACCCAGGTGGCATCAGCCGTCAATTGGCGGCTGCTTCTTTGGCTACAATGGCGTCTGCCGCAGTGCGGACTCGCGAGTCCGAGTGGGAGGCACATCGCGAAGAAATCACGAGGCTATACTGGGATGAGAAGATGACTCAAAAGAATGTCGCGGACTTCATGTCCAAGGAGCACGGCTTTTCCGCATCGTAAGTTCATCCTTGCTGTCTCGACTCCCTTCGTCAGATCCATCACTGAACCTAAACGCGAAAAACAGGAAATGGCAGTACGAAAGACACTTCAACCTTTGGAATCTCAGGAAGAAGCATTCCAAGGAAACCTGGGTCGCTCTGAACGGCATGCCGGGGCAATTCGAGCTGGCATCTTCTCTCGTTTTCCATGGTCGGGCCATTGAAGCCAAGAAGCGCAACAAGGCAAGGTTGCGATATCCTAACTCAGCAACGCTGCAAGGTTCGTTCTGAGATTGGGCTTGAAGGCCTATCCCATGCTAACACGTTCCAGGGACCACAAACACACTACCTCCTGGGTTCGAGCTTGTCAACTGCAATACGACCCTCGCGCCCATGATTGAATCAGCCTATGTGGCGCGGATATTGTCTGTGCGCTTGACACCATTACTTCTGAGTTTTCAGCTATTCCGCGGCTTCAACGGTGAGACAGTTTTCCAATCGGGTATTTTCTTGCACGCGCTGATGGCTGACGAGACAAGAAACAGAAGCAGGCAAGCCGACGAAGCCTTTGATGAGCTTGCGGAAGGTGATGGCCACCCTTGACCGCGAAGCGTCGCTCCCCCCGACCGAGGACACCGCCGAGAATGGCACAGTTGTGACATCGAGCCGCGTCCTGAAGATCATGCCTGGTGAAATGGACAGGGCTTCTGCACAAGCGATCTTCCCGTGGGCTGCCTTGGAGGAGTGGCACTCCGGCAGCGATCCCTTGATGGTTACCGCCATTGCGTCGCAGCACATGGCTAGCTCGCAGGTTGATCAAGCCCGGCTCCATCTTCTCGTCTTCGCGCTCTCCAACGGCATGGAACGCGATATGGGCATCGAGTGTCTCGGGGACGTGTGGCAATACCTGCAACAGTCCTCGGCTTTTCTCAGTCGCAATAGTCTGCAGCAGATAATGCAGGGTCCGTATTCCAAGACTCTTTGTTCGAAACTTCTCCAAGGCGCCATCGAAGCCGGGAACGCATCCGGCTGTAGCCAGATCATTCGTTTGGGGAACATCAGAGTGGACGATGTGGTTTGTTTTGGGGAAGATGGAGAACTACTCGCGGCAGTCGAGCTTGCTGCCCTCCTCGGAAACGTGCAGGTCCTCGAAGCTCTGCTGAAGGAGAATGCCGACCCGACACGAACCGGGCCACACACGGAGCGCAAATTCGACATCAGTGCTTGGGGCGCTTTGCGCTCGGCTTTGGCGACGCCGAATCATAGACGGACTGATGAATGGTGTCCTAAGCCCTGGCGCGCCTGGCTGAAGACTCAAACTCGGCTCAACAAAGAAATCGTCAAACTCTTACTGTCTACGGATTCCTGGATCAGGGCAAAATCTTGCGAAGGAAACACTTCTGTGTTTTGCATCGAGCAAAGCGTTGGATGGTCCCCAGACAAGCTCAAAGACCTGCTGGAAAGTGTCACGTCACAATCTGCCACCGGGCTCGCAGAGCAGCTTATCCACATCGCAATCCGGGAATTGCGCTCTCCCAAATTGCATTCCACGGGATTCATAGAGGGCCTCCTTTCTACTCCTAGCGGTTATTTGCTGGAACTTCTCCAGCTCATCATACCAGCGCGGCGCTCGACACAGTCAAGTCACGAGCCCCCACGACTATCGAGTTGTGTCGCGAGGAACCTCGTATTAGAGGTGAAACGCGAGGATGCTCTCCGCTGGCTAATAGACCGTGGTCGCCAGGCTGATGTGGGACACGAGGGGTGTTCTTGCGGCAGGCGCGTCTCTGAATGCTTTTCGAAACTACTGGATTCTTCAACAGAACATTCATCTGACAATCCACTAGATGCAACAGAGGACCCTTCGGACCCATATCAAGAGATACACGACCAACGCTTGAGGCTAATTGCTTCGGGGAAATCTCGAGAAGTTCTGCATTCCATCGAGTTCACTCATCGTTCAGACCCGGAAACATACTGGAGGTCTGTTCGGAAATCCACAACTCCGAAGGACTGCAGCTTTGAGGAACCCTGGTTTTCTGCAGAGGACGATCTATTGTTGGCAGCAACAGAGGCTCATGATGAAGAGTTGGTTCGCAAGCTGCTTGAGTTGCGACAATCACCGTTCATTCTCGATCATCCGTGCTTGCAACTTGTCTGTGGGCCCGCCCATGAACACTTGCTGATCATGTTCCTCTCGACGGAACTGGCCCCGAACACTTTGTTTCTCCACTCCACGGAAGTCGCCAAATTCATTGCCGAAGTGGGAGTATTGAAAACTCTTGCGGCCCATGCCATCCTGCTCGTCGGCCCACACCCAAATCCGATACTCACGGAGGCGGTCGAGCGCGGGGACTGCGCCCTGCTCCAACTGTGTCTGAACCTTCTCCAGCCCGAGTTACAGCCGCAAAAATTGATCGCAGACGTGTACTCTGACATACCCAGCGAGTATCGGGATGCGATGGTTGATACTATCTTACAATATCGTTCCCCCTACAATTCCACACGCAACACGGTGCGCATCGCTCACGCGGTTATCGCGGCTGCGGAGAACGGGGACATGGAGATAGCCCAGAAGCTTCTACCACACGATGCGAATGTGTATACATCTCTCGTTGGTGTCGAAGAGCTCAAGGATGATATGTGGAGATTGAATGAGACATCTCTGATCGGAGCTATCATCGAACGAGATCAGACACCGGGGAATCAGTTTTGCGTATATATTATACGAAAATTCTGTACACCGTGCAAGATTGACCGATGGGCGGCTACAGCCGACGGTGAAATTTCGACGCCACTCTTGCTAGCTATCGACCGTGGCTTGCAGCACATCGTCGAGCTCCTCGTACTCGAGTACGGAGCGGACGTCAACTTCACCCCGCGGTTGAGTGTGCGATACACACCGCTACAACTGGCAGCCAAGTGCGGCCACTCTGGGATTGTTCGATGGCTTCTCGAACACGGTGCCCGCGCCAACAGCCCCGTCAACCACTATTATCATGGTATGACCGCACTATACCTTGCGGCGATGGGTGGATACTGCGGCATTATGGAAATGTTGATCAATGCCGGAGCTGACCTCAATGACCAGCGTTTTGGTTTGTCTCGGAAGACGGCAAGAACGGCCCTTGAAATCGCTGCTCTGTATGGCCGAATAAATGCCGTCCAGCTACTTCTGGACTCAGGATTCGACATCAGGACGAGAGGCAAGGAGGCAATGGCTCATGCGATTGAACTGGCGCAAGAATATGGACACGTCAGCGTTGTTGAGCTCCTCGAGCACTACCAGATGGATGTGTTATTTGAGGAATTATGGCAGCACGACATCGCTCTGGAGGGCGGCCAGGCATCGATGGATGAGATTGTGGAAATGTAGCATGCATTATGAAAGGTCTGATAGTGACCTGTCAACGAAAGCTGTATCGAATTGATCGCAGGTTTTGATTGTTATCTCCTAGCAGCCGTATCCCATATGCACAAGTCTCTTTGCTGAATTATCTTTTCTGTGGTCGTGCTGCGATGTTTTATTTTAACCATGCCCTTCACGTTCGTCTGTTCGCTAAGTCGGAGCCCCCCATGGCGGCCACCCCCCCTAGCGGCCACCCCCCAATCGCGCATGAGGCCATCACCAACCTCGCTGTCACTCTGCAATAACTCAACAACCACTTAACAAAAAGACTTCAAATCAATTGAGCTGAACCTCTATGCAACTCTCCTCGTCACTGTCTCCTCCAATTGACATAACCTCGTCGTCGCTGCTGTCGATATCGCTGCTATTGCTGACGTCCGACCCCAACTCCCTGCGCACATGCCTCTTCGCGCGCTCGACCTCAACCACTGTAATAAACTCTTTATTTGGGTCCAATTCGACTTTTTTGCGTTTAGTGGGCTTTAAAGCATCTAATGCAGCTTGCAATCGTTCTTTTTGGTGTTGTGCGGCGGTGTAACGGATGTTCGAAGTGTCGAGTGCCTTGCACACCTTGCGAAACAGCTTCCTGCAGGTTGCTGTCGATAGCGCCGGATCGCAACGTACCATCTCCCTGTGCATTTCCTGCACATCGCGAGAAGTCTGTGGTGTTTTGACAGTAATTGTACAGAAGGGCGCCAAAAAATCCGGGTCGGAAAAGCTCAAATTGAGGCTAGAATGCGCAGTTGCAAGTACGTCCTCATCGCCGTCTACCGTCCACCGGGACCTCATCGGTTTCTGCTTATTCTGTGGCCAGATTCCGGTGCCTTTGAAGCCTCCCAAGATGTTGCTTTGGTTCAGCTTTTCCTGGCGAGCAAGATGATATGCGAGAAGGAACTCCTTCTTGCCCGGAGTCTCGTTCATTGTGTTATATGCAACTGTCGTGACCGCCTCCCGGTAGTAGTGCTTGTCTGCAGAGAAGACGCCTACGTCGAGTGGCTGAAGCACATGTGACGTGTGGGCAGGAAGGAATAACAGCCAGATCTTGTTGATAAAGCATTCCGTCATGAATTGCTCGGTGGAATGCGACTTATGGCCGTCCAAAATGAGGCATCGCCACTGCCCTGTATCGACAGGTTTGGTGTTGGGAATAAACACCTCCCGCAGCCATTTCAGGGCAATGTCATTGCTGGTCCATCCATTTGGAGATGTCTCGAAATGCCACTTCGACCACTTGTCGAGGTTGACGTCAGGAAACCACTGCTGTTGTACAGACTGGCCCTTGAAGATAACCAGTGGAGGGATGAAACCACCACCTGCAGAAATGGCCTCGATTATCGTGATCCAGGTCCTCCGAGCCCCGTCCTTTTTCAGCGTAAAATCGCGGAGGGCATCAGAGATAACGAAGCCGTTATAACCAAGGCCCTCTGCAACTCCGCACTCGTCCACGTTCCATATGTTCTCTGGGAGGATATTCTTGCTCGACAATGACGTTAACCGGTCGAAGATGTCGATTGGCTTTGCAGGCACCGTTGTACCGTTTATATTCGACTAGTCGTGATCGCGAGGTTCGGATCTGTGGGTTGCGGCGGAGGAATCGTTCGTACCAGTGGTTGCCCAGTCGTGGCGACGACTTGTCGATAGACAGCATACGCATCGCGAAGTGCTTGAATTGCTTTAATGGGGCTGCATAGCCCATTGCGGCCTGATTAATGGCCCAATCGACCAAATAAGACTCCTGGGTGGTAGAGAGGGTTTGGCGCACCTGATATTTTTGCTCGGCTGTCGGAGTCGCAGCGATGCGGCGGCGTAGGTAGGATCTAGCGACATCGTGTTGTTTTGCAGCTGCTGAAACAGACATGCCATTCTCAATGTCGTCCAACGCGCGGCGAGCGCGCAATTGGTAGTCTTTTGGGATTATGGCGATAGCCTCATTTCTGGGCTTTACAATGGTAGGTGTAGGATGGTGGTGCGACGCGGGTGATCTGCTCTATATGCAAGATTGTATGTGGGGTGGATGCGTCGCGTCGCGACGCGACCCCTGGCCGCGATGCGGGGTGGCCGCCATGGGGGGCTCCGACTTATGGAAGCATGAGCAAATCGAGGCTTTGCTAGGTCGTGGAGTGGACTATATCGTAATAGCTAAGTATGTTGATTGCAATAACCGCGCCATTCACAGAATCAGGGCCTAACTTGGATGTTTCGGAACTGCGGTGTCGCCCCCGACCCGTGTTGGCCGCCGCAGCAAGATTGACCCTTTCATGCGAGCTGCGCTCCGCGAGGAGCTGGCGAAAAAAACCCTCTATATACTGAGTCGAAATGATAAAGTTCTTTTACGATAAATTCGGCATCGAAGTGTCACTGACCACGATATCAAGACCTATAAAGTCGATCCAGCAACGGGACTCAGAGTTACGGGGCTTTTTGTGACGGCCAACCAACAGGGGATGCTTGTTACGGACGCAAAAGAGCCCAAACAACTAGGCCACAGGATCAGGCCAAGGACAAGGGCGGATCATGTGGCAGCACCGTCACAGGTTTCTTATGTAAGCACGATAAGGGACGATAAGGAAGGTACGTACCGGTCATGCATATCTGCATGACCGACGCTGTGCCAAGAAGGATGGTCACCAATATCTGCATGACCGTCAGGACCAGATTCATGACCTGGCCGCGACCATCGGGCTCAGAGTCATGACCACGATGAAGGACAAAGGATATATAGAGTACGGAGGATCTCCTTGTGGACAGTCATTACCTTTGTACTTCAGCGATCAATCTAAGTATCAGTTTCACCCACACTTGAACTAGTCACTCAATTGCCGAGACTGGTATCTCTTCCAAGAGACACGAACGACAACCCAGAGAGAGAACGACAGCAGAGTGTTAGTTGTTATTGTACAGGCTTTACCTATCTTGCAGAACAGCAACCCCAGCGCCCTGCCAGACGGTTGACCCCGGAGGCAGGATTGTGACACTTTTATATGTATAGAGCCTCCGCGTTCAAATCATCGACGAGTCAGCCTGGGACAAAAGAACTGACCTTACTATTTTCATTCGAAGTAGAATTTGTATTATATAATAGTTTGCCCCTAGGCCTGTTCTAGCCACGCCTTGACCTTCTCTACGCATTGGAACGCAATACCGCGTGGAACATGCTTCTCGATAGGAAATCCCGCCTGCTCGACTTGTTTAGTGTGAAGACACTCTACATCAAGACACCCAAGGCGTGGTTAGCTGGTTATCTGTCTCTAGTCCTTGCAAAAGATCTAGTTTTATAGAGCTGTTGCACCTTTTACACATTGCACAGATGTTAGACATAACACAGAGCTTTATACCTTGGTCTAAGTCTGCCGACCCCCTGGTGACCACCCCTCCTCGCGACCACCCCAAATCTGCGCATGAAGGCATCGTCAACCTCACCGTCACTCTGCATTAACTCTACAACCGGTCGTTCAAATGGCTTCAAATCAATTGCCCCCAACCTCAATGCAACTCTCTACGTCACTGTCGCTTTCATTTGTCTCCACCTCGTCGTCGCTGCTGTCACTGTCGTCGCTGCCGCTGACGTCAGACCCTAACTCACGACGAACCTGCCTCATCGCGCGTTCGACCTCAATGACGGTTATAAAGTCCTTGTTAGGGTCTGGTTCGACTCTTTTGCGTTTAGTAGGCTTCGCTGCATCTAATGCAGCTTGCAGGCGGTTATTTTCATGCTCGGCGGTGGCGCGCCAAATGTTCGAAGTGTCGAGTACTTTCGCAACCTTGTTAAACAGCTTCCGGCAGGTCGCAGTACCCAAAGCCTTTTCGCACCGCAACGGCTCAAAATGCAAGCTATGAACATCGCGAGATGTTTGTGGTGTTGCGACATCGAAGGCGCAAAAGGGCGACAAAAAATCTGCCTCCCATCTGGTTTGAGGCCGATTTGGGCAAGTCGCAGGTGCCGCATCACCCACATGTACCACGAAGCGGGAGCCCATCGGCTTCAACTTATTCTGTGGCCACACCCCCGTACCTTTGAAGCTAGCAAGTATATTCTCTTTGTTCAGCTTCTTCTGGCGAGCAAGATGATATGCTTCAAGGAACTCCTTCTTGCCAGGGGCCTCGTTCATGTTGTTGTACGCAACCTCTGTGACCGACTCGCGGTAGCACGCCTTTACCGCCGAGAATACCCCTACGTCGAGAGGCTGAAGTACGTGTGATGTATGCGGTGGCAAGTACAGCAACCAGACCTTGTTTATGAAGCATTCTGCCATGAATTCCTCCGTCGTGTGCGACCTGTGGCCATCGAGGAGCAGGGTGCGCCACTGGCTAGCCTCTGCCGGCTTCGTTGAGGGCAGGAACACCTCTTTTAGCCACTTCAGAGCAATATCATTGCTGGTCCACCCGTTGGGCGAAGTCTCGAAAAACCACTCCTGCCATTTGTCGAGTTTGACGTCGGGAAACCACTGCTGTTGGACGGATTGACCCTTGAAAATGACTAGCGGAGAAGTCGAAGTACCGCCTGCAGAGATGGCTTCGATTATCGTGATCCAGGTCCTCCTGGCGCCGTCTTTCTTCAAGGTGAACTTTCGCAAGGCATCGGAGATCACGAGCCCGTTGTGACCTAAGCCTTCTGCCACCCCACACTCGTCGACGTTCCATATGTTCTGGGGGAGGACCTTCTTGTCGTTCAATGACGTCAACCGGCCGAAGAAAATGTCGATATTGGCCTTCGAGGCACCGTCGTACCGTTTGTATTCGATGAGTCGTGATCTCGAGGTCCTGATCGATGGGTGGCGGCGGAGGAAACGGTCGTACCAATGTACGCCAAGTCGCAGCGACGACCCGTCGGCGGCGAGTAGGCGCATCGCGAGGTGCTTGAAATTGCTTCAATGGTGCAGCATAGCCAATTACAGCCTGGTCAATGGCCCAGCGGACCAAATAAGCCTCCAGATGGATAGAGAGGGTTTGGCATACCTGATACTTCTGCTGAAAAGTTGGCTTAGATTTGAGGCGGCGACGTAGGTAAGTACGGTCGATGTCGTGCTTTCTGGCGGCCGCTGCAACAGGTATACCGTCCTCAACGTCATCCAACGCGCGAAGAGCGCGCAATTGCACGTCTTTTGGGACCATGACGATAGCCTCACTTCTGGGGGTTGTAATGGTCTAGGCTGGGGCGCGTCACGACAGAGATGATCAGGTTTATATGGGAAATTGTATGGTGGGGGGATGCGTCGCGTCGCGACGCGACCCCTGGTCACGATGGGTGGTCACCAGGGGGTCGGCAGACTTAAAACCCATAATTGGCAGAGTTCAGCAGCCAACTCCCTTATGTGCTCTCCCTCGTGGTAAGAAACTCAATCTTCGCAACATTTATTACTTACTTATACATGCATAGAGGTTCGGTACATGGTCTACGACTGTTTAACGCCAAGTCGTGGAACAACCATTTGTCTGAAATGGTTTCAGAATAGCCAAAGAGATCAGTCGAAAGGAACTTTTGCTTTACCAATGGTGCCCAGACTCTACCGTGAGGAATTCCTTCCTGTTCTCACGAGGTTCCAATAGACTTAACATAAAAACAAAACACTCAACCGGGTTGGGAAAAAAAACCATTCACTTTATCTTTACAACTTATGACTTTGACTATTACTGATATCACCGCTCTTCAGCTGGTCAAGCTGGAACCCCGCCGCAATCGCACTGCCCGCATCGAAAGACGCATCGGCCATACTGCACGCCGATGTCGGCATCCTTGAGCCGGAGGCAGATCTCGCGAAAGTGCTCGTGGTGCCTATCCTGGGCCTCCTCCTCCTCTTGGCTGCCGTCCTTGTCCCCCTCGGCACTGCTCGCGGCGCCGTCGAATATCAGCACGGCCGTGTGGTGCTGGTGGCAGTAGCTGCTGACGGCGTCGCTGCCGTTGCCACCCGGAAATTGGTGAGATTCTTAGAAGATAATTCTGATAGAGGTTGCTACGCTCTGCCTGGTTCTTTGCTAATCAAGAATCAAATGGTTGCTTTGGTCAGATTTTGATATCCATTACTCGTTGTGTTAAAAGCAAACGTTTCCAATTGGCCGCTACTATACGAACAAGCAAGCCATTCCTGACGATATGGATGTCTCTTATCTCTAACTTATGCTGTCGGGCGCGAACAGTAACGCAGTCTATCATCATCGGTCTCCATCGTGAAACGCCCATTCGCCTCTGTAAACGCACGCGGAAGCAGGACGAAGGCGTGTAACGAACACACATATAGATAGTCGCAAAGGAACTATAAGCAGATGGTGACCGCTTCCCATATTGGTGTGACCGCCTACATCTCATGATCATGTCAAACACGCTACTCATGAACAGACATTCTTTTGTGCTTCCGATGGAGCCTTCGAGCCATTTGGCGAAATCAAGCTCGAAAACGACGTTGCCAGATGAGGGACTACTGCTTTTGTATCGAATGCCGTCTTCTTTTCGGCGGCTCAACTCGTCCCGGTTGTGTCCAGGGATGCAAGGTCGATGACTGGGCAAGAGATGTGGAGCTGACTTTAACCAGCATTGGCCTCATGCGGATTACGTAAGACATACCTACAGGTACAAAGCCTCGTTTGTTTTGGCGGCTTCGACCTTTCACACTATCCTCCTTCTTCCCCTCTTAAGTCGGGCGATTATCCTGTCAGCCACAGTCTTTTCAGATAAAGTCATGGATTCAAAAAAAATCCTATGGGAATATTTCCATCATCTCCCAGACGGGCCACTTCGTACGCGTGCTTGCACGTTTTTGGAGTCCATCCGTTGGGATGAACTGATAGCATTCGCTGCTGCGCACGGACAGACTGGCTCATTTCTACCACTTGTTGGGCTTGGTCACAATCATATGGTTCGGATCATTGAAGCACCGGACGGCGCTCGATGGCTTGCCAGGCTCGAATTACCTCATGTATTGGGTAGGCAATACTGCGACGACATCCTTGTCAACAAGAGAAATGCCGAAGTCAATGTGGTCAGATTATTGCAGGACAGAACAGACATACCTGTACCACACATATACGCTCTCGATCTATCCCCTGATAACGTTGTCGGCGCTCCATTCGTTATTTTCGAGTGCCTGAGCGGCAACTCAGGAATGGATATCCAGATGACAATTCCTCGCCAGCATATCGCGAAAGTCATCCGGGATCTTGCAAGGATCCACGTAAGAACACCCGTTTAACTGCGCAGAGAAGTACGCTGACTATCATGAGAAGGTTCAATTGTCGCAGGTCAGACTCCCAAAGATCGGCTCGATCATGCGGCTCCACGCCGACGGCACAGTTGAGCTGGGTCCGATAGCTGGGGTTGGTGGCCCATTCGACACCGCCTCCCAATTTTTCAAAGCATGGGCAGCTGCGACGCAGTTCCCGCGATCAGCGGAAGACATACAACGGGCTTCAGGTGATTACGCAAAACGCATTCTCGATTCCGTCTCAACTTTCCCCCAGTCTATCTCTGAGATTTCCGGCATTTCAGTCAGAGACTCTGGGCCGTTCCCGCTCTGGAATCGCGATTGGGGTTGGAACAATACGATCTTTGACGACGATCTAAACCTGCTGGGGGCAATTGACTGGGAGTTTACTATCAGTGCTCCGTGGGAACTTTCTGCGCAGTTTCCACATGGCATTAGCACAGTGCCCTCGTCGATAGATGCACCTTCCAATTACAATGACGATGGCTCTCCTAAAGATGCCGAGCTGCGACAAACGCTCGAAGATCAGAAGGCATATCTCCGCGCCATTAGGGAGGCGGAAATTCACATCGGGACGGATCAACTCTTGTCGCAAGCTCTTTGCGACAGAAACAGACATGATGTAGCACGCGCAATGGGTCTTTTCGAGGATGGAAAGCTTGGTCTTTATTCAGAGGTCATCAAACAATACGGGTCTTCCTAGTGTATTACCATACGATTGACAGTAAATGACCAACACCTATGATCCTTCAATTCTGTGTACCGCAATCGCACTTTTCACCGCGCTTGACCTGTTTGTTGCAGCTGAAGGCCACGCATGTAGTGTAAGCGTTTCCGCTGTAGTTGTAGAGCTCTGTGTGTGATGCTTGAAGCCATGCTAACGAGCTCTGCCCAGTAGTGTTCCTCTTGTCAGAATCAAAGCTTGGGTTCAATCATATCGTGGTGCTTACAGTGGAGGCGGTTCTGAATGTGTTGCTATTAAGAATGGACTGTTGTCTTGGCGAAGTCAGTGCTACTGAATGGGTAGGGACTCGCGCGTCATAGGGCAAAACTCACGGTTCGATCAGCCGGTTTGCGAATGGTGAGAAGCACGATGGTAAGTTTCGTGAATATAGTCGAAGAAAACCTTCAATGTCCTACCAGCTTATATATGAAGGATCCCATGGACGGCTTCCTAGTCAGCACGACCTACAGCGATCTGCGCAATGGTTCGCGCACCACGGGGTCATGGCTGCGAGCAGCAACGAGAATCAGGGTATCATTGTTGGACGCACAGCTTAGGCACATCAAGACTGAGATTTGTCATACGCCACGGTCTCTGGATTGTCCAGTCTCAAAGCTTTTCTCATCCAATCTAGGCGACTTGCACCACAACCATCTGCAGGCAAATTCATAAGAGGCAACTGGGATCGCTTGCGACAGCCTTTGTTGTGAAGAAAGACAATGGGCGGCTGATGTACCCGTCTTGTGCCGTGATGAACTCGAAAGGCTCACAACATGGTCGCCCGTCTGGATTGCTCAAGCATGATGCTCTCACTGCCATGATACCCAATCGGCCGTCGTCCTTCTCTTCCTCTGCTCCAAACACAGCCAACATTGCTACCAGGGGCACAATCATGGCGCATATCCGGTCACACCAGCAAGGTTATGCAGCACTTCAAATCGCTTGGCACATGCAGGCAACCCTGCCTTGGAGTTCAGGACAGACAGGTTGAGTGACGAGCGCCCCATCAGCCGGGTTGTTGTCCCCATCTTTTCGTCAGACATGTACTGCAGCTTCTGCCCATCGTGCTTGGAGGCTCTTTGTTAGTTTTGTGAGCGTCGGGTGTTTGCTTTGTTCTCACGGTTGAGCATCTTCAAGGCGTGACGAGTGAGCCGGCGCCTTCCCCTCTTCTTCTTGGACAGCTGCCCCTCAAACTGGAGATGAGAGTCTGCCCGTCGCTTTCTGTCTTGAGAGGTCGAAGGCTGACAAGGCGAACAGCGCGGACAGTCTGATTGTGGTTGTAGGACCTGTTCCGGATCGCGCGAGCCTGACGGTATCTGACCCTCTCGATGCTCCTTTGTGAAAGTACGAGTTTCGCTCAGTCTTGCCCTTTTGGATTGCGGCTGGTCTGAGTAGGGCTCGACCGCTCGTTCTCTCTTCGTGGTCCCCCGTCCCGTCATATGAATGGCTGCTATAAATACCTTCGCGATGCGCCGCCCTCGTCGTTGCATTTTGGTGAGCATGGCATACTCCTCCTCGGCAGCCCAAATATCCTGGAGATGATCCCCTGGTTACCGAGGGACGGCCGTGGCCTTTCAGCCGGAGATTACGATGACTGAGGTTGCTGTGGCGGAGGTTTCTGTTGATGAAGTGCCCCTGAAGCCGCCCCCCTTGAAGTAACGACCACCGAGATCACCGCATCCGAGTCAGAGCCTCCCCAAGTCGCGCCCCTGGAAGTCCCCACCACCGAAATCACCACGTCAGCATCTCAGGGCACCCAGACCGTGACCACCTCCCGCGACCCCTCCTCCCTCCTCACCGCCAACAACACCTACACCGACTGGACCGTTAACACCCGCGCCACCAAGCACATCCTCGGGCGCCCTTACCAGGTCATCATTTTCGACGGGCCTTTCAATCCGGATCGTGAGTGTTGCTTTCTTCCTTCTATTCCTTCACCACGGTCTCCCCCCTTGCTCAAGCACACCGTGGACGCTCCTCCCCTTTCTTATTGTATCTCACCTCCGTACACATTTTTATTTCCCCAAAATGGGAATTACCCAGTTCACTAAAATCCACCACAGGACTTCATGCAAGGCGAAATCCCCTCCCTCGAACCAGAGCACATAGTCCCCCACCTAAAAGACCACCTGCACTGGCGTGTGCTGGTGGAAGCGGGTGTGGATGTGCCGTGGGAGGAGGTGCCGGGGTTGGTGGTGTGCGTTTCGTCGGCGGAGGTGAGTTTTGACGAGAATGGGATTCGGAGCTATTCGACGGAGCATACGGTGTATCCGGAGAATACGGATGGGAGGCCGGCGGGGTTGAATGTTGGGGAGGAGGCTTAGGCGGTGGGGAGTTGAGCTATGGTGTTGAATGAACAGGCTGACATTTGGCTTACACTTGAGATAGAACCTAGCTAGAGTGCTGCACTGCAGACTGTTGAAATGACATGGGAAATACCGACTTGAATCTGTTCCACTTAATGTCTTTGCCACCTTTGAAGGCTTGAACTTCACTCAGTTATCTTAAACGGCTGCGGGTCCGTCGGCACCAGCGTCGCCACGCTAACATGCGGCCACGTCAATATTGCGCCCGGCCCAAAATTCAGATTCACGGTCTGCGAATACTGGATCTGGATGCCGGGCACCTTGATTGTCTTCCTCTCCGTGACACCACCCGGTGGCGCCGTGATCGCAAACTTCGGCGTAGGCGCCCTCGCTCCGGGAGGAAACGACGCCAACAGGACCTGCGTCTCACCTTCTTCCATCTTGTTGACAACGACGTCATACTCGATCCGCTCGATGTAGAACGTGGAGGTCATGAACTCGGTGTGAGCGTTCGGGTCGTCACCCTCGCCGGGCGAAGGGATCATGACACCCTTGACTTGGCGCGTAGTGTTTGCGGATATGACCGGGGGTTGTACGAACGGAGTTTGCGGGCCGGCGAGGAAGGCGATGTTGGCAGTCCCGCCGGCGTTGAGTTCAGAGTTTGAGTTGCCTGTGGTGACCTTGAAGGTGATTGTTTCCTTGATGTCGAGGTTGCTGGTGTCGATGGCATTTTGGAGAACGAGATTGGGGTTCTGGATGATCTCCGTGGTGACTCTGCCAGTGCCTTGGGCGTTGAACTTCTCGAGGTTCGCCGGAACCCGTCGCGTAAGGTTCTCTCTCTCGGCGTTCATCTCCACTTTAAAGAACTTTTGTTTGTCCTCAGGCCTCCCGATAATGAATGGCGTGGTGTCAAGCTTGTCGAACTGGGGAAATTTGGGCTCTCCACCGATCACGGTGGAGGTGTTCCTCTCGGGAACGAATCCTTGCGCGTTGATTGTCGTACCGTGAGGAATGGAGGCCATGCGGCAAATGGTGTCGCGGCCCCCCTGGAAGTCGGCCGCCGGAACGTGAAGCCATATGCCGGGCTCGAAGTGAATGCCGGAACCCTTGCTGGACCTTGGCTTATCGCCCTTTCCAGTCTCCACATTGGTCGTATCCTGGACGGTTTGGAGATAGGCAAGCCCGCCGAGGAAGATGTCATCCTGGTTACGGAACCCACGGTTCGGGATCTTGCCAAGGGTCGGGCCAAAGGTCAGTTGCTCGGTGGTGAGACTGAGGAGCAGCCTATTGTCGTTGGGTCCGTCTCCACAAGAGTTGCCGAGTGTCTGGAAGGTGCTCGGTACCCAAATCAAGTTGAACCCATTGCCGGCGTAGGAACCCTTGAACTGCTCAAGCGGGAAAGGGAGAATCTTCTCAGGCTCCGACCCCGGTCCGCCTGGGACATGGAGCTGTTCGTTCTTCTGAGCTTCATCCGATGCCGGCGGCTGGTCTTCCGTCAAGGGTACCTCCTCGCCATCGCGAGACAAGCGCCTGGAAAGCTTGGATGTTGGGGCCTTCTTGGGCCCGCCGCCGACTGGGCACCATTGGAATCCGGCGAGATCGAGGGCAGGGGCCGGGTGTGTGATGTTCAATGGAGCAATGATATCCCCGTCGAGGGTGATCTCGCTGGCCATGATGTATGCAAGGGTTGGAGATGCGCGTCAAGGAAGTGGCTGAGTGCAGGAAAGATGTGCGAAACGATCTGGTGAGAAGTGTTTGGTTGAATTACTGAGGTCCGCGAGTCGGCGAGCAAGGGCGCGGGAGCAACAGAGCTTTATAGACTAGATGAGACCATCTCTGTCAGCCTGTCTTGGATCTGAACCACCGTGTCCGGACGGATGGATGCTCGTTCGCGGCCGCCATCTTTGAGTGCGTGTCTTGATCGTACCGGTCGAAGCTCGTTCTGTGATTCGCACAAGCGCCGGGCGCAGACTTGTGTGTTGCTTCTTTGGATGAAGGGGGGATCGCGTCCGTGTGGCTGCTTACCATGTTGGTGCTGTGGGATGCAGTGTTGGTTGGATGCTAAAGATGACCTCGGAGAGGACCCTGTAGGAGATGATGGTGTTTGAAGTTCTCTGTGCTACACACCAGGCGAGGAAGGAGCGTGGTTGGTAGAAGTAGAAGAGCTCAGCCTCCAACTCCCATTACCCCTCCAGCTGCATGCACAGCATCGGAATGCAATTGCTTGTCACAGGTCCCTTTTCTTACAGCAAGCCGCTAGCCGGTACATATAATTAGCGGATCTTGATAGCCTTCTCTAAACATTCGAGACCTTCCCATGATCCTCACCTCATACCACCCTTTCTATGAGCACCTCTACGAACGATCCTCTTATTTACATGCTAAAGCTTACTTATCATGCTATGTTCTACAATCCTACTTCACACTAGGTTAAGTACATGTACCTGGGTTGACCGCTATTTACGGAAGCTTACAGGAATATATGCGTGAGGAAAGCTACGCCCATACTGCCAAGACGGCTTATACGAAAGGTGTGATACCAGGCAGCATAGAGTTTAACCCAAGGGCTGAAGCGGGGTTGCCAGGAGTTGGCACGACATGAGGCAGCACCTGGTCAGCATCCATTCAATCATGAGCCATCCCATTGGCTGCGTTTCTTAAACATGAGGATATGTCTCAGTCACATGCCAGAAGCTGGGATGTGTTGAATCCACATGCTTTCATACAGTCAGATTCGAAATCGGTGTCCGTGTAGGTCATGCACAAATAGTCCTACGCTCAACGAAAGAAGGGAAGTGGTGGCAGTTGAAAAGTGAGACGTCAGGGTCTGAAGGTTCTCCTGCGTTGTGTCGCCGCTTGTCGTCACTGCCGTCACTGGAGACGTCAATGTGATGTTCGGGCCTGCAGTCTCGAGCATTTCCTCAGGTCAGACCTTGAGACCCCATCACACACCCTCGTGTTGATCATGCAGATCGATGATCCAACAGAGAAAGAAGGAGTTCGTGCATGGTTGACAGGAACAGTGGGGTTGAACGAGCCCTCCCTTGCTTCGGGCCTACAGCCCGTCGGAGATGTCGAATAATGCGAGGCCGGGAAGCTTCGGCTAGCTGTGTTGAGGCAAGCCCGCCCCGGATATTAAGATGTCGCCCCCTTGTGCCAAGACGACGCTGCCATGAGTTTATTCTTCTATTCTTCGGGCCCTAGCCGGAAGGCGAAATTGTTAGCAAAAGCATGCCGTGAACGCCGGGGAGAGCCTATGACATGAGGACTGGGCTGCGAAGAATGGTCACAGGGGCGTCTCTGCCGTTCTGTGCTGTCAGTCTGAAGTTGGATTTTCATGGCCGCAAATTCACTGTCTTATGACGATGGTGATGTGTCAAGTCTCACATTTCAGCTCGCCGTCCGTGGCTTAAGGACAAACCTGGGACAAGTTCCTGGTGGTTCTTGTCTCAGCCGCCCGCCCGCCATGATACTGAGACCTTCGCTGAACCTCTCCCGGATCAAAGGACCCGTTGGCAGCGGAACACTAAAGCAGTCGCTTTGGGGCTGGAGTCGGAAGAGGCGGACCGGCCGGGCTCAAGAACCCGAGCGACCTAGGTGAGACGGAATGTTCTGGAGCGCTTGAATCCCCTGGTACAATCGAAGGTGAAGCTGCACGGCGACCGGAGTATTTTCCCGCGGACAACTCGAGCGCTACCTGAGCGTACTCACTGCATGACTGAGCCTACCTGAGCACGCCTGGGCTTAGCAGTAGCACACTCGGCACACCAGTACACTGCTGATTACGCCAATTGATCGATCTCGGGACACGTTGCCCCCCAACTATGTATATTGTCTGCTACAAAGCCGAGGTGCGCACAGATTTGCTTAGCCTGAAACCCCCCCCCAAGGTTATTTTCTTTTATTCTCGTATGGCAGAAGTCGTTCTCCATCGACCAGCCTGGCAACCCTTTCCATGTTTCTATGATTGTTTCTTCGGCCACGCCACCCCCGTGCAATAGGCACCTCAGCCTCCTGGGTGCCAGCAGCTTTGCCACAATCACGACACTGCATGCACCTAGCCCGGCCGATCCTGCGCGAGGTCTTGGCCCGGTCGCCATTCGTCGGGCAGCAACGATGTCAAGGTTACGGTTGCAAAAGACTGGTATTCGACATTACCGCTATTTGAAAGATCCCCCTGCTTGCGCCTACAGGCCCGTCTACTTCGATGCCTCGACGCAGAAGGGGTTAGCAGTGAAGGTTCCCTTGGGATCATATGTCTTCCTGATGTCCTGCACCTTCCGGTACGTCGCCTCGTCATAGTAATGCTTCCAGACATTCTTCATGTCCCAGTCGCCCCACGATCCCCAGAGAACCCGCTGGTCCTCCTTGCTGTAGTGCTGAACCACACCCTCGTCATTTTTTTTCTGCCACGCGTCGGCCGCCTCCTTCGTCTCCGAGTAGAAGACGTCCCACGTGCCGCTGATGGTGGCGTCGCGGTTGCAGTACGACGTGCCGTTGCCCACACCCTTGGGGAACATCGAGTTCTTGCCGCCGTACACCTGCATCTGCGACGAGATCCAGAGCCCGTTGCCCTTGGTCTTGACCACGTCGTTGACGCGGCCGACGAACCAGTCGGCCCAGCCATCCTTGGACAGCGAGGTGGACCTTGTCGAGTTGGTGCGCTTGACGTACGGGTAGGGGAACTCGCGCGAGCTGCCGGTGAGCCACATGGACGCGATGTGCGACATGGGGGTGCCCTCTGGGCTGGCCTTGACGATCTTGAAAGAGTCGTTGGGGACGTTCAGGATCTCGTCGAAGAGCGCGGGCGAGTACGCCGGCTCGCCGGGGATGTTGACCCACTGGGCCCAGACGACGATCATGGCGTACTTGAACTTGAGCAGGTCGGCATTGTTCTCCTTGCCGTTGTCGATGGCATCGGGTAGCCGCTTGTGCAGCTCGGCCTCGGAGCCCGGGAACAGGTCCAGCAGGTTCGCCTGCCGGCTGACGACGTTGATGGTGAAGTCATAGCCGCGCGGGAAGTCCGGGTCGTCGCCCTTGCGGACGAGGATGTCGAGGAGGGCCTTGTACGTGTTGTCGCGGTAGTGGAAGCCCACCCACTGGCCCTTTGAGCCCTTGTGCTTGCTGTCCTCCTGGACCTCGATCTTGAAGTGCGTGACGACGCCGAGGTTGCCCGGGCTGCCGCCGAGAAGGCCAAAGAAGAGGTCCGGGTTGCACTCCTTGGTCACTTTCACGACCTCGCCGCGATGGTCGACGATGGTGAGCTCACGGACGTAGTCCCCGAGGAGCCCGAAGGATCGCGCGAGCATGCCGTAGCCGCCGGTCTGCACATGGCCGCCCAGGCACACCTCAGCGCACTGGCCCGTGGGCATGAAGACGCCGTTGTCTTTGAGGAAGTTCATCATCTCGGTGAGCATCCAGCTGACGCTCGACCGGAGGTACACCTTGCCATCGGCGCGCTCCAGGTGCAGGTCGATCTTCGGGCGGCGGAATGTGGGCTTCAGGTCGAGCTGGATCCCTTTGGAGCCTGTCGAGGACGCACCACTGTACTGGTGCCCGCCGGTCCGGATGGCGATTGGAACGCCCTGCGCGGCGCAATTCTTGACAATCACCTGGATGTCTTCGGTGCTTGAAGGTTGCAGGATCTGCTTGGGCTTGAGGTCGCGTTCTTCGCCATAGGAAGATGTGGCATAGATGTTGTTGGCACGGGCGTAGGCGGGCGTGTTCGGGGTGAACTCGTTGCCCTGGAAGCCTTGGAAGGTTGATGCCATGTTGGGCTCAGGATTTTCAAGAGGTGTGGGAAGGGACTGACAAGTGCTTGGTGTTTGGGGTGCTGATGAGATGTTGGAGGTGCTGTTGAGAGGCAGAATCTCAGATAGCCGTGCTTGATTCTCGCCTTTTATATTCCTTTTCGGCCTTGATCTCACAGACTACAGAGCTCCTTACCCTTAGTTATCGTACTGCTGTGTAACTCATCTAGTGCCTGCCAGATCACCTTGCCTGGCATTGCGTCGCACCTGTGCCCGAGACAGTTATCAAAGGCCTCAGTTTTTGTTAACGCTTGCAGAAACGCCGAGGGCTGAACTGCGGAGGAGGCAGTGGTGCATGAGTCGGGGAGACCAAAGAACCCAATCAGATGAACCCAGTGACATTGTCTCGGTCTTTCCAAAATCTGTCCTGCTGCGGGCAGGATATAGAGTTTGAGGTGGCGTCTTACTAATTCCACCTGCGCAGTGCAGGGGATTGCAACGGCGAATCTGAAGAGGTCGGTAATACTATATGCTTTAGAGTGAAACAGTACGAGGACATAAGCAGCATATTCTGCGGCTCATATTCGCTCAGGGCCCACGTTCACATGTCAGGATAGTGAATGCATGCGAGATTTGTTAGAGGAAAAGGTCACAGTATGGACTGCGGTGAGAGAATAGGCTAACTATTTTCAGCCACAAAGTCAAGATTCCGAAGTTACGACCGTTAGACAAGGACAAGCAAACGATTTTGTCACGTATTGCCGGGGAGGAGGACGTATTGTGTCTTGTCTAACGCTCGTCAAATGTCATCCCACGTCACGATATAGACGATGAGATACTCTCGTACGCTCCTAAATATGTGAAGTTCGCTTATGTTGGCCCGAAGAAACGCTAACATAGGCTACTCTTCTACTCGTATATCAGCCTGCCCTCAAGTAGCTGTACTTGTTCTGGGTCGCGCCTGCCTGCGTGCCTGCCCACCCCTGCAGCGCTGGCGTCAGCAGAGCTTGAATCTTCAATAGTTGTGTGCTCACACAACCGCTGCACGATGGATGGCGAGCTCGCAAACTCTTGCACCGTTACAGGCTAAACGGCTTCGATGACTACCCTGATATGCCACACTATGAAGCCCCCTTCACGATCTGCGGGAGCTCTTTCGAAATTCGACACTGCGTTCGCCAACACCGGCATTCACGCGCTGCATGGCAGCGCAGATTCTCGACGAAGTCAAGAGACCGCTTTGCTGCTCCGAGAGAATGGGTTTCGAGATTGCCCGGTGCAGGGTTGTATGTACTCTGGTAG